GATGGATCTCCCACATTTTTGGGGCCGGTACCAGAGATCAAACTCATGCTCTTGCACTTGCTAGGTAGGTGCTTACGCCACTGAGCTAAACACCCTGCCCCATTCCTGTACTTTCTTATATTTAAATCTGTGAGGTCATTATAAATAATACTATAAAATCTGTGTTCTGTATGTAATTGTTCTCCTTGCAACTGACTACAAAAACCTCCTAGAAAACTATGAATACAGGGGAACTTCCTCAATCTGGTAAATAACATCTACAAAATTTCTACAAGTAATATCATATTTAATGGTGAGAAACTAGAAGCTTTCCCACAGAGGTCAGGAACAAGACAAGAATGTTGCCTCTCAACATTTTTTCAACATCACTTTGAATCCTAGTTAGTGCAGTTAGGATCCCTCCTCTAAAAAGGAAGTGAAAGGTAAAAGTATATGTGTTGGGAAGTAAAAAAGAAACTGTAGTTCACAGGTGACATGATTATGCAGTGGATCTGAATTGACCAAAAACTGTTGTAACTAATAGGCAATTATAATAAGGTTACAAAATACAAGGTTAGTACTAAAAAAGTTAATTATCTTCCCTAGTATCAGCAAAGAACAAGTAGAATTTAAAATTAAAAACACAATATAATTTGCAATAGTATAAAAAGTAACAAATATATAAATATTTATTAAGGAAAACTACAAAATTGACTAAAGAAATCAAAGAACTAAACAATCATTCCATGTTCATGGATAAGAAGATTCAATATTGTTAAAACATCAGTTCTTTCCAACTTGATCTAGAGATTCAATGTAATCCCAATAAAAATCCCAATTAAAAAATCCAAGAGATTTTCTTTACTTTACTTTACTTCCAAACTGAATCTAAACTTGGTACGGAGAGGCAAAGACCCAGAATAACCACTACAATACTGAAGGAGAAGAACAAGATTGGGGGACTGAAACTACCTCACCTCAAGATTTCCTCTAAAGGTACTATAACCAAGACTGTGTGGTACTGGCAAAAAAATAAACAAATAGATCAATGGAATGGATCAGAAAGCCCAGGGGAAAAAAAACTCACATTAATTTAGTTACCTGGTATTTGACAAAGGAAAAAAAGAAATACAAATAATGAAAAGGCTATCTTTTCAACAAATCAAGCTAGAACAACTATGCATTCAACACAAGTCAAAACAAAAACACAACAAAAAAAACCCTACAACAATCCTCTGCTTAAGTACAGGCTATCCACCCTTAAAAAACTGACTCAAAGTAGATTTTTTTTAGGAGGTGAATGAATATATAAACTGTGGATCCAGAAAATTAAACATTAGTGTTAAGAAGAATGAGCTATCAAGCCATGATACATGTTACTATGTGAAAGAAGCCAATCTGAGAGGCTACATATTTGTATGATTTCAACTACATAAAATTCTGGAAAATGAAAAATTATAGAGACAGAAAAAAACATCTTCCAGAGGTTAAGAAAAAGGAAAGGATGGGTAGATAGGAAGAACACAGGATTTTTAGGGTAGTAAACCAGTTTTATATGGTTCTATAATGGTTGATAAATGTTATCATACATTTGTCAAAACCCACAAAATGTAAAACATCAAGAGAGAATCCTAATGTAAACTACGGAATTTGGGTGACAGTGATGTATCAAGTTCATCAGCTATAACAAATGCAGTACTCTGCTGGAGTGTTGTAGAGGAAGACACACGCAGGGCAGGCAGTATACAGACATCTTTGTACCTTCCACTCAATTTTGTTGTAAACCTAAAACTTCTCTAAAGGAAAAAATCTATTAAAAAATTCAAAGAAAAGAATAGAGCTGATAGCTGGGTAGGGTGGTGCGTGCTTGTAATATCAGCACTCGGAAGGCTGGGACAGGAGGATCATAGTGAGTTTGAGACCAGCCTGGGCTACAAAGTGAGTTCAAGTTCATCCTGAAGTGCATAGTAAGACCTTGTCTTAAAAGACAAAAAATAAATGAATAAATAAAAAATAAAAACAAAAAATAGAGCTGACAGTAGACACAAATGTGCAAGCATAGAAAAGTATATAAGTATTTCTTAAAAATATATTAACAAATTCTCTAAATATATATAAAATATTTTTATGCAGAACATTTTGTAGAACTGGTGTTACCACCAAACATGTTTTGGAAAATGCCACTGGAAGAACACTATAATTGAAAAAGTAAGATGGTGGAAATAAGAAACAATACAAAGTTGGAAAGAAAATTTAGGAAAGCTTGAAGAGAGGTGAGCAAAAAGACAAGTGGAACAAGAATAAGAACAAAAAAAATATGTACATGTTAGAGGACCAGTTCAAGAAGTCCAATAACTGAATAGTCAGTATGTGGAATGAACAGAAAAAAGAGGAAGAGAAAAATCATTAATAAAAGAATTTAAGAAAATTTCATAAAATGAGTGCCCTGAATGGTAAGTGAAAATACATCTAAGCTGAAATTTCAGATTACTGTGGATGAAGAGGGGCTTCAAAGACAACAGGAGAAAACAAAACAAAAAGACTATATAAAACTAAGGGTGTAAATCTAAGAAAGACTTATATAAGAAAAAGACACGGGGAAGAAGACTCTAACTGAAAAAAGGATTGAAGGTAAGCACTACAGGTATTTGTTTAATTACTGGGAGTTTGGTAATCAGCAAGACGATTTTAAGGCAGCTACCCCCACCAGCATGTCCAATGGATAGTATGTCAGGAACTACGTGTAGGCAAATTAATCAGTCTCAAGAATACCCTGAGGAAATAACGGTCTTTGGTTTTGAGATTTGCAGAACTAAAGAGCATTTTATGACTAGGTATTTAGGATCAGCTGTGTACCAGCCAGCCCACCATTGCAAGGAAGTGTCCATTATTCTGTGATTACCCAGCATCTGCTGTGAAAGGTACCTACTGCTCTGAGAACACCCATCAGTGTCTATATAGACATTCCTAAATCAGCTTCCCATCAGAAGGGCTCTGTGACAAGTCTCCTGTCTTCTCATCTAGCTGGCTTTTCAAATAAAGTTACCTTGTTTGTCTCAACATTTTGTCTTATAACTTAACTGGTGTATGTTGGACAAGCATCCAGACTTGGGTCTAGTAACCAAATGGAGAGATGCTAATGGAACTCTGAAGGCTCCAGGAGAGATTTCTTCTACACATTGACAAGACAGACTAATATACTGTGCTTGAACAGAAAGATATACACAGTAGGAAGAGATTTTAAGGTTCATATTTTAAGATTTCTGTAAGTACACAGAAAAATAAATATGCAACAAAGAAATCAGTAATATACTATGTTGCTCTTGAAAACAAAACATGCAACAAAGGGAAAATAATTATACTACTACATGACTCAATTAAAAATAGTAATTAGGGGGCTGGGGATTTAGCTCAGCGGCAAAAGCACCTGCCTTGCAAGCAGGCAGTTGTGAGTTCGATCCCCGGTACTGATAAAAATGAAAAAGACAAAAAAAAAAAAAAAAAAAAAAGAAAGATAGGTAACAAATATACAGTGTGGTACACAGCATTCAATCTATGATAGCTTTCATTGTTACCACTGAAGTGATTAGAAAGGTAACATGAACTAATCCTGTGTATAGATGTGTAAAATGAGGTTAATACAGAGAAGTGATGTCAAGCTCACAGGGTCCAATCAAAAGATGATGACACAGTGGTCAATAGAATGCTATAGCCCAACATTAACAGGAACCGGGATATATGCAATAAGTTTCCATTTTTTCTAGGCCATGAGACTCAGGGCAAAGAAGAAACACCACTCCAATGGTTACAAACAAAGATGGTCTCCACCATTTAATAGGAATAATGAGGCATAGTCATGAGGCTTTTGCCCTATGGTTTTTCTATGTGCTACTGAAAAGGTTCCTTGCCACTGAGGTGGTACCTAGAATGCTGTAGGCTAAACCAAGCAGTTATAAAGGTATCTATGGGACATATCATGAAGTTGGAAGATATAATCAGTATTTTCACAGAACTACCTATCTGTTATTCCTTATGCATGGACAGGGGCAATCTAATGTATACTATCAGTAACATGTAGCAACATGTAGGAAAAAGCAGATTGCATATTTGGAAAAATTATGTGAGAAGACCCTGACAAGAGAAGGACATACATGACACTGAAAGACTGTGTCATCTTCTATAGGTTATTTAGAGAGAAAAATATGGTTAGGGCTTCCCTTCTAGCTCTTAACATTTTAGGATAACAATGACATACTCAATTCCTTTTAAGAGAAAGACCACTCTAACTTCTATGGGGACCACTGTAATTGTTTAGAAATCCCTAAACAAGATGTAGTATCTTTAGAGTAACTGAGCAATGTTTTACACATCTCTTAATCTATTCACAAAATGAGTAATACTTTTATAGTTACCCAATTGGGAAGTTGTACATCTATTCCAAAGGCGTAATTCTTTTAGAGTTAATTTTATAAACAGTTCATAAAGTGTGGATATCTATCTATTATCTGTCTCTCCTACTTTACAAAATGGAAACTGATATTCGTAATTTTTAGTTTATGAATGAGATATATGTTTGAATCTTTGGGGGACAGATATCTGGTGTCCGAAATCAAGTTCACTCTCATTGGACCAACTTTACCACCATCAATGATTGCTTTTAAACATCCAGAAGACTTTCACATAAAATTTTGTGGTGGGATGGCAGAAGGGTTCTAGAAAGTAGAAAATCTCTAACAAGGAAGCACTCCTAAATTGGCAGAATGAATATTATTGTGAACTGGGTCCTCCTCCCTGTTCCCTACAGTGGAATCCAGTTCCTCAGCATTGAGTTCACATAACACTTGCCCAAGTTTTTGTTGATTGTTCTGATAGAACAAAAGTTTCTCTGAGACTATTTCAAATGCCAAAGACAAAACATTTAAAAAGATTCTACCTAGGTTTACTAGTGGACAGGAGGCTAGTTATTAGTGTAAGAAAGGGGCTTTGGGCTTATTGCACATGGTCCCGTCCTCTGCTCTTACCTGTGGGGGCCTGCATGGCTGAGCTGGGGATGGTGGCAGCATCTTGGGGAACAGTGCTGGTGTCCGGTTCAGGGGTGCTGGTTGTTGGTGAGGTGGGTGGTAGGCTCAGCAAAGTCCGAGGTTTCCTCTGTCAAAATGGATGATGAAAAGTTTGCTACCCATGACAGCTAACTTGTCTACTTGCTCCTCTATTCCTAGCACTTAATTCTTCCATGAAACAAAAATATTGTTTGTGGATGCTACTCCATTTTATCTTTGTTTTCCACTCAGCATCTGATGCAAAGCTATACAGATAGTAGAGCCTTAGTAAACAGTTTCTGAATCTATGTACAAGATTTTGGTTTTTAGAAGAGCTAACACTTAATGCACTTTACACTAGTTTCAATTGTTATATGGAATTTCAAACCCTTCATAAACATGGCAGATAAAAACAAAAAAGGGAAAAGAGTATGTTATGGTTTAAGTCTATTGACTTTACATTATACATTTTCTTTTTAAAAAATGGAAATAACCCTTCGTATTCTACTTTCCTCATCTATATCATTCCTTCCTTTAAACCTCCTACTCTAGTAATCCCTAACTACACTACAATTGTAAAAACCCTGCAGTTAGTTGTATCTGGTCCATACCTTTATAATGTTAAGCTATCTCTTTTGACTGAAATGTCTTTTCTTCTTTTATTTATTTTACAAATTTCTGTGATCCAGGAAGCTTTTCTAGTTTCCCTCTAAGTACTATTTTCTTTCTGCTACCTATGTTATTTTGTGTTTTTCATTTGTTAATGTAGTGCCATTATGTTTACATAAGGCATCCCTTACTAGCCTGGAACTCCTTGAAAGTCCAACTCTGAGTACCATTCCTGGCAAGGCACTTAGTATATATATAATAATAAGTATTAATGTAATAAGTACAACAATGTAGGATTAATAAAGAAGATTTGAGAGAAATCTATTATCTCCTCTATGCTGTTCAGGGAAGTCTCTGAGGGAGAAAGATCTCCGAAGACTCCAAGAAATTGTTTTCTAAAAGCCTTTCTAACTCAAAGAAAACAGCCTCAAGGAGAAGCAGAAATTCCCTTTTACTAACTGTCTCATAAGGGCCAACTGCTGAAAGCTGTAAAAGCCTGTCTGCTTTTTAGTGCATGGTTTAAAAAGATGACACTGGTGGCAGCACATAAGATGGCCTTGCCTAGGAAAGTTATGCAAACCCTGGTCAGAGGTGCTTATTTTCTGATATTGCTAAAAGTGAAAATCCAAGGAACTAATGAGTCAGGGTTAAAGGAGAAGACTAGTTCAACTTTAATGAGTTGGCAATAAGATTTCCTGAAATCTCTGAAAGAGCAAGTCTGATAATTAGGTGTCACATGAAAGTCAAGACAGCATTATCTTTCTATCTTGAGATAGGTGCATTTCTATGTATCTATTTATACATTACCTCATCTCCACCGTAGAGGAAACTGAGGCTCAGAGCCTTGCCCAAAGAACTTTTTCCAGAGTTATACAAGTGGTCACAAGTGGAGATGAGATCTAAACCTTTCTGGCTTCAAAGTTTTCCTTTGTGCTTCAAAAAAGATTGTAAAGCTCATGGATAAAATGAAGACAAATAACTCTTGTACCAAGAGTAGGCAAAAATATAAGGGGAGTGAGGAAGTCAAATGCCACGACATAAAATACAGGACAGGATGAGAACGACTGTTTTCAAGAATGGAAAGAAAGAAGATTTTGGTCACCAAGTTCAAGACCTCCTGTAGGAGCAAAGCAGAGATAATCATAGTTACCGGGTTTTTTTTTGTTTGCTTGTTTGTTTTTGGTTTTGGTACCGGGGATTGAACTCACGACTGTGTGCTTGTTGCAAGGCAGGCGCTTACGTTGCTGAGCTAAATCCCTGGCCCAGTTCCTGGGTTTTGAAGGATCTTAGAAGTTATTTAATCCAACCATCACCTAAAACTTCTACCTTCTCTGCCTGAAAACATCCTTTCAAAGAGTAACCTAGCATCTGATGAAATATCTTCAGTGACAGAAGCTTGCTACTTTATTTTGGGATACATTTAACTGTTTTATGTATCCTAACCTTTTATGTTGAGAAAAAGGCCTCCTGTATCTCTTACTGGTTGTGTTACCATCTTTGGGTTCCGCAGATACGTTTTCTAATTTATGACCATCTTCAAAATGTGTCTATAAAATCAAAACATGATTTTTCTGACCTTGGCATTCTAAGGCCTTTAACCTTCCCTCCACAACATCAGGAAGAAAGGAATATAAGAGATAAAAATGAATTAGGTCCCAAATTAGGGGTTAGTTATAATAGAACAGAAGCAGCCTTATATGTTAGTAAGCATTATGAGGACATGACATTGAGAATTCAAAGGTAGTAAGAGACAATTGAGATTAGTAGCATCATTGCTAAAGTCATCCATCCATCTATCCATTCATCCATTCATCCCAATACAAGGCACTGTAGGAGAGAAAGAGATTAGGTTATTAATCTTTAGAAACTTACACTGTATAAGAATTTAAATCAGCCAGAGCTACTAAGCAATCAAAGCAAAGGATTATACAGACCAGCCAACCAACTAACCAACCAACTCACAAGGAGGATATGAGACTGGAATGGACAATGCAGGGTGAAATGGACATCATTTCCATCAGGTATTCTAGTTCAAGAATGAGATTCTGAGAAATTCTGATAGTTAAGAAGTACATGGAGGTGATGACACTAGAGGGGAACTTGGGAAGCTGTTGAGGAACTTTCCTTTACTATCAATGCTTTTACTCGTGAAGGTATCCATGAAAAACTGGCATGACTAAGGGAGTACTTTCCGTAACATTGCTCAAAAAAGCTTGGTTCAGCAATCTTTAAAACTACAACTTAAGTGTTATGTCCCTCAAAAAACATACAGAGTGAAAAAGTGATAGGAAAGCAGTGGCATTAGAACTAGATCTGGGCACTAATCAATGCAGTCTTTGCCATTTATTAGCTATGTGACCTTACAAAACCATTTCACTTATCTAAGTCTCAACTTACTTAATAATACATAAGTAGCTAATGTTCGCATGCCCAGAAAAGTGGGACAGTTAATGAGAAGCAAAGACCTTTTACTTATGAAAGACATTAAACAGGAATTCTCTCAAATACGAGTAATTTCAAAGTCAAAATTTGTTTCCTATCCCATGATCTTATCTCTAATCTCACCAATTTCAAAGCAAGCAGATAAATAGGAATGACAATCTAGTATACTGCGCTTGAAATCACACACCAGGTAAAGAAAAGGGCCAAGATATATCCCTTTCTGAGGTGGACAGGTATGGATGAATTATCCTTTTCATCATACCTTCCCCCCTTTCTAGAAAGCCCGTATTTTTACCTACCTTACTGCCAGGTTTGGGACCCCTCTTCTTTGGGAATTTCAAAGGTTCAGCTGATTTGGATGGGGTAGAGATGGGATGGGGAATAAGGGTCTTGGGTGTTCGGCCTCGCTTCTTTCCTGGTTTACGCCCCCTCTGCCCTGGTTGATGCTCCAAGACAGTTTTGGTGTTGCTGTAGATTCTGGGCTTCTCAATATTCACATCAGATGCAGGGTAAGGAGTCTTTGGAATCACAACTGCAAGAAAAAGACTTATTCTATCACCCCTCCTTCCTTTGTATTCCCATCCCAGACAGGTGAAAAAAGGACTGATACTTCTGCTTTGAGTTTGGTTCTAGGAAACTACTTTTCTGGTGTTTGACCAAAATGATCAGAAAATCACAGAAGAAACTTGAACTCAGAGTGACTAGTATTTAAAGTTTTAAATATTTCTACCAAATAAAGAAAAATTATTAAATATTTATCCCCAAGGTATCTAAGAGAGTACTGTGACCTAAGTCCAAGTTGAAGCACATGAACGGAAGTACAACTCAGCATTGGAATGGCTCTCAGGAGCCTACATTCCTCTCTATTGAGAATACAAAATTAGGCTGAAAAAGGAAATGATGCTTCTCCAGGTTACTCAGTGAGTTAAGAACTTCTGTTTTGAAACTTAGCCAGGACTCCCTTGACAATCAAATCTACATGACTCTACTTGCAGTATGATTACTGCAGTGAGGATCAGTGAAACACATGGAAATATAAATCTTCTAGCATCTTTCCTTACCTTAAAAATTGCTCCCTATTACCTTTAAAATCTCAGTTCTTTATCCTGTTATCCAAGAAGTTTTGTGCCTTTGTCCCTGCCTTGCTCTCCAGCTGATGTCATTTATTGTCACCTACCCTCTTGTTCTACTAGCCTCATGTACTGAGATCTCTATTATTCTCAGACATGTTTTCAACATTCAATCTATAGCCATCTCTTTATTGAGGTCTTCTCTGATTGCCCTAACTTGGTCACTACCCTCCCCCATTCCAATGTGTTTTGTATGCATCTATGTTAGTGTGCTTCTTAATTTTACTGTAATCATCATCATCATCATCATCTTAAATTGAGAATTTTTTGAGATAAAGGTATCTGGTTCATTCCATGAATAGTTATTGAGCACAAATGGTTACTATAGCTGCCCTGTTCTAAGTCCTGGATATACAATTCCCACTCTCACAGAGTGGGAAAGAGAGAAAATAAATAAATAGACTATAATGTCAGGTGGTGATAAGTAGTAGGAATCAAATAAGTCTGGATTGAGTTGTACAGGAAGTCCCTTTGAAGAGATGACATTTATACAGAGCTCCCAAATGAGACAAAGGAACAAGCCAGTGAAGACCTGAAGGAATTAACATTCCAAGTTGAAGGTGTAATAAGTACAAAGAAATGGGCACATGCTAGTGTGTTTGAGGAAGGACAAGGAGGTTAGTATGGCTGAACCTGAGTGAGTAAAGGGGAGATTAGATACATATTATGTTGCAAAAGGAGTACAGTAAGACTGTGTAGGACTTTCCAGACTCTGAACATGAACTGAACTAGTTTCAAAGAGAAGGCACTAAACAGGAGAGGGATAAGATGTACTCAGAAATATGGGTAGTATAGCCATAAAAATGCACTAGAATATTCACCACAGCATTTTTCTTAAGAGATGAAACTGGTTAAATACTGCCCAATAAAATAATAGCTTTTCAGAAACATGATATGTTCATATGGTGGAATACCACACAGAAATAAAAAAGCTGTGGCAACATGAATAAAGCTCATGGAAATAATGTTCAGAAAAAGAATTATATATATATATATAGATTCCTGTATATAAAACTTGAAAACAGAAAGCTAATTTAGAGTGATAGAACAGTGGATATTTTTGAGGGGGTTAGGTAGTTAGGATTTTATTTAAAGGCAGCCTACTGTGAGTCTTCTGAGAGTTAGAAACAAACTATCAGTGAAAAGAGAGAAAAAAGACAAAAGATAATAGTGAGCTAGCACCTTAGAATAAGGTGGTAATTACTATAGAGAACATGAGTAGCTGTAATCAGAATATACTTTGAAGAAGGAGCTGACATGGTTGGATATCAGTGAACAGAAAATTAACGAACAGAAAACATAAAATTATTCAAAAGACTCAATTAAAATCATATTTAATACAAGGGAAGAGCCATAGATGATTCAAAGTATTGGCTTGAGCAGCTGGGAGAATAATGATGTCATGTACACAAATACTGGGGAAGGAAATACAGAATTCAGCTTTCCAACACATGTCTTTTGAGATACCCATTAGATATCAAAATATGGAAATGTTAAGTATGTAGTCATATATGTGAATCTGGAATTCCAAGAAGAACCTATAACTAGAGATAAAGAACCATCAGTATGTAACTGATACGTAAAACCACTGTATTAGATGATATCTTCTAGTGTGTGAGTGCATACTTAAGAAAAGGACCAGGTGTGGTATTGTCCACTTGTAATTCCAGTCCCCTAAGAGATTGAGGTAGAAGGATTCCAAGTTCAAGCATAGCTTGGGTAACAGTGAGATTCTGTCTCAAAATAAAAAGGGTCGGAGTTGTAGCTCACTGCAACTTCAAAAAGACAATAGGGAGAGAGAAAAGAACACTTTTAAGATACTTCAATATTCAGAAGTTGGAGAATAGAAGATTCAGCAAAGGAGATTAAAGAGTGTCCCTGAATTCTGAAGAATATGAGAAAAACATGAAGTTTCAGAGGTCTCATGCTTTAAGAAAAGGGGGAAAGGCAGCATTTCACTCAAATTGGACACGCTGACACCATGTGTCTCTTGATGTGATACACTGAAGACAAAGTATCATGTATTGTTACCTGTCTAAAATAAATGACCCTGAATCTAACAGGACAAAACTTGAGGGACATGCATCAAAATGCCAGCCAGACAGTATCTTGAAAAACAAAAGGGGAGAGGAGCTATTCCAAATTTAAGAGACTAAAGTGATGTACAGCTAATGCTACGTATAATTCTCCTGGCGCCTGAATGAAAAACAAAAAACAAAAAACAAACTTTTAGAAAAGGCCAGAACAACTGACAAAATCTACACAACTGACTATTAGGTAATATTTAATGCCAAATAAATTTGATGCTGAGTTTAGAAAGATCCCTTAGCACAACAACACATATATCATCTAACAAATCTGAATATATATACATATATATTAGACAGTTCAAGTCTTATGTATAAACTCCAAAGAAATTGTTGTACTCATGTACCAGCATATGTATAAAATGATACTCACATAAATACTATTTGTAGTAACTAAAAATTTGAAATAGTCCAAATACCTACTACTGATAAAATGGTTTGGGGAGGTACAGGTAGCTCAGTGGCAGGGTATGTGCTTAGCTTGTGTGAGGGTCTGAGTTCAATATTCAATACACACATGAAAAAGTAATTCTAAGAGTATAGGCTGGAACCTGGGGATCCTCAAAATCCTTTTAGAGGATCTGTAAGGTCAAACCTATATTTATGATGGTACAACACATTATTTGCCTTTCTCACATTCATCTTCTCACAATGAAGCTTTGAGAAGCTATACCTATGATGTCATTATTTAATTGTAGTGCATGCTTGTATATTTTTTATCTGAAATAAATTTATGTGCTACTAATTTTTTTACAATAAATCATTGCCTACATACATTTTTTGGTACACAAATGTTAATGTATATATGTATACATCCATGATATGACAATCGAAGTAGTTAATATATTTATTACCTTAAAAAGTTTCCTTTTGTCTCGTTGGGGTTTTGTGTGTCATATGAACATTTAACATGAAATCTACCCTCCTGAGATGTTCTTAAGTGCAAAATATATATTGTCAACTATACGCATGATGTTGTAGAGGATCTGTAGTACACATTTTTCTTGCATGACTGAAACTTCATACCTACTGAGTAACAATTCTGCACTCCTACTCCCTACTCCAGTAATGGAGAACTTTTCAGAGCTTTCAGTAATACAAACAGCCAGCTGTGGCATGAATGCCATAGGTTGCCACCACTGCTCCTCAGGGACTGTATTTTTTGCTTCTATATATTCGATTATTTTAGATAATTCACATAGGTGGAATTATGTAGTATTTGTCGTTTTGTGACTGGTATCTGTCTGTCTCTCCTTTAAAAGTGTATTCCATTATATGTATACAACACTTTTTTTATCTGTATCTTTGCTGACACACTTATGTTGTTCCTATGGAATATGTTCTTTATGTGCCTATTTTTTGATATCTTCTTATTTTAAAAAGGCTCTAAATTTTAATTTCTTCTATGGTGAAATGGATATAATTCATATATCTCTATGTATGAATGTTTCTTATATAGAAAGAACTTCAAAGAAAGAACCTCATATATATATATATATATATATATGGATGGATAGATATAAAAGCTCCCTGAGACCAAAGACTTTGAGAATCACTGATACTTTTTTTTGTCTTTTTGAGATAGGGTCTCTCTAAGCAGTTCAGGCTGACCTTGAGCTCACTTTGTAGCCCAGGACGATCTTGAACTTGCAACGATCCTCCTGCCTCAGCCTCCGAAGTGCTGGGATTACAGGCGTGATTACAACCATGCCTGGCTGAGAATCACTGATACTTATTATAATTTTCTTGTCTTCTCTTTTTTCCAACATACAGTACACGGGAGGGGGGCTCAATAAATTCATCTTTTTACCTATTCTACATTTGAGCCTGAATAACAGAACAAGTAAAATGATTTCATTTTAAATTACTATAAATCTCAAGACTAGTCCTTCTTTTCCAGTCACAGAGTATAGAATCTAATCTGGGTAGGGAGATAAGTGATTCATTTTTGGATTCCTTCCATTACACATAAGGTGCTGAGTTCTTAACTGCTGTCTAGTATGTGTTTGCAGAATATAAATGGAAACATGTAAAAGAACAGAACAGAGCTTTACTTATCTCTTCGAACAGAAAATAGTTTTTCTCCATGATGTCAAATGGCAAAGAGGCTGTGTTCTCTGGCCTGAAAGGCTAGACAGAAAACATTTAAACTTTTCTTGAACAGTTCTGAAAAATTAGGTTATGCAGGTCTTGTGTGAGTACTGAGAATAAACTTCATGCTAATTTAAAATCTTCTTAATAAATGGATTTTCTTAAGCTATCCTGAGGGATTCTAAGATTAAAAAGTTCTTCCTATCAGGAAGTCCTGACCTGCC